TGTAACAATATAATTATTGTGCAAAACGAGTCCTCAAACTATTTTTATTATATCATGCCAATCTCACCGGAATTGTCATCTTAACGAGTGTTGAGTGAGCTTTATTTTGTATTGTACCTACGTGCAGAATTGAGAAGCCAAAACCACTCCTCTGTTCTTTAACTTTTCATTTCTGTTGAAAGGAACTTGGAATCTCTGGTTTACATCCAGCTCCACCCCCCACTTCCCCATCTCCCAAAATGTCACCTAATGTAAAAGCTTTCTACTGCTGAGTGCCTTTGTTGTATAAATGAATTTAGTTCCTGAAAATGCTGGCAATAGCCACATACGGGTACCTACCAAATTGCCTGAAACTATATCAAAGCACTGTAATACTGACAGGCAGTGTTGCCTTCAGAAGAGAGTACTGGAGTGGTAGGTAATCCAAGGCCTATGTTCTATCTGCAATTTTATTACTAGCTTGCTGTGGAAGCTTGGATACGTCTCTTCACTTTTTTTGCTTCACTTTTTCACTCCAGGAGTGAAACCCACTGCCCTAAGGAAGATGCATCTAGTCCAGAATATAACAGTTTGGTTGGTTACAGATTACAGATAACGCTGACCTTGACTTGCTACTCAAAATGCTTCTTCTTTACTGAACAGAGTGCAGAGAATGGAGTGCGTGACACTAACTTTTCTTGCCTGAGTGACAACCTTGCCCCATTCTGAGATAAGGACTTCCATTTCATTGGGAAAAAGGCATCATTAACCCAAAGGACAGAATTTGTATCTACTGAAGACTGACCAAGACTGAAACCCTAGATCAAGTAAGAATGGCTATTGCTTTTCCACATTCAGAAAACCTATCTGGGCATCTCTGTGATTTAGCTTTCCCACTTTCTAAAATACAGTGGTGTCTTTACATTTTATAGACAGACTGTAGGAAAAAATATGAACAATAACTTTATGCATGCTTTTGTTGATAGGGCTAGAAGGAACAGATTTGGGCTTATTTGTTGTTGAAGGTGATTGGATAGGTCTAATACCTGCTGAAACAAGATAACACATTGTACTAGTGTGGTTAATGTGAGCCAATTTCTTTAGCCAATCGTACACAAGCAAGTGATATAGAGCTTCTGGAGACCTTTGACTCCCCATTTACACTTAGGTCAACTGTGGACAGTCTTTGGTGAGAGTCCAAAACAAGGTTTGAACTCTGCAACCATAAGTCTCTCCCAGAAAGATGTGAATAGATTGGGAAGAGTCCAGTGGAGAACAACAGAAATGATTAGAGGCCTAGAAAACATGACTTATGAAGAAAGGCTGAAAGAACAAGGATTATTTAGTCAGGAAGACAGAAGATTAGGGAGGGATTTAAGAAGAATCTTCAAATACCTGAAGGGAGATTATAAAGAGGCTGGAGATGGATTTTTCTCTGTCATAGTCAGGGACAGAAGGAGGAGCAATGGCCTCAAGCTGCAGCAGAAGAAATTTATGTTGGAAAACAGGATGAACTTTCTATGAGGATGGTCAATGGTCAAGCATTGGAACAAGCTGCCTAGAGAAGTTATGGAATCGCCATCCCTAGAAAATTTTAGGAGCAAGCTCGACAACTTGACTGGGATGGTTTAGTCAGGGATAATCCAGGACTAGATGAGCTCATGAGGTCCCTCCCACTCTATTTTCCTATAATCTTATAACAGGTTACCTTAACTGCTTTGTCACTGCCCCCCCCACCAATGATGGGTGACTCTAAGGGTTGTTTAGCCTGCAGGCTTCTGCAGAAGAGCTTGCTCCCTGAGAAGCATCTCAACCACACCTCCCAGCTAAAACACAGGTTTTGAGTTGCAAACAAACCATAAATGAGCAAACCAAACCCAATCCCTATGCCCTGCCCCAAACATTAGGAAGGGAATCTCTATGGCTCTGGCGCTCAGCGCATCAGCCTAGCCCCTTGCTGTAGCAATCTGTTCTGCTCACAGCTGGCTTCTTTGTCGTCAAATGGGTCCCTCACAGACCACCCCTTTCTGCCCTCCCTTCTGGGTTTTAAGCTCCCAGGGGGACAATAATCTTCCCTTATTACCAGAATGCTCCACAGCTGCAGATTCTTAACAGGGCAGGCTACCTCTTCTTATGGGTACAGACCAGCCTGTTACAGAGACATTATAAAAACCACTGGAGAGAGACTCTGTACTCTCCAGAGTGCTCAGCACTCACAGATTTAACTGAAAGTCAATAGCAAACTGCAGATGATATCTCTTTGAAAATGAGGCAACATCTTTGCAAAAGGTATATACAGGGTGGTGCAAAGTCAGGACCCATAGGCATTATCACATCTATTTTAGCAAATGTTCAAGCTAACTACCATTAGCTTGAAGCATTTATCAGGTCTCTGTTGAAATGATGCTAGGACTTCTCTTTTGTTAATTTTTGTGGCATTTTTCACCTGAAAAGGACAAAAGACAAAAATGAATATATATATTATTTATGGTCCTGTTCTCTCTTGCTTTCTCTAGAACAATTTCAGTTAAAAAGTCTAGAGCAGAAAGTCTAGACCAATTATTCTCAGCCAGGGTGCTGGGGTACCGTGGGGTGCCACTGGATTCTTTGAAGGACGATGTGAGATGTGATGAAATATGGGAGATGTGAAGCAAATGAGCAGGTGAGCACAGGCTTAGGTTTTTCCCTCCTTGGCTGATCCCCCACCCCACTGCTTGGCCCCTCTGCAAGGAGTTAAGGACAGTGGTATATCATTTCATTTTTGAAATTAGGAGTGCCTCAATTCACAAAAGTTATGGAGGGGCCTCAAGTCCAATGAATGTTGTCTTGAGTCCAATGAGGGGTGTTTTGAGTCCAAAAGTTTGAGAACTACTGGTATAGACTGACTTCTAGAAGATGCTTCTAAACATTTAGGCCCTGTCTTTTGAAATATTCTATTTAAATGGGCTCTAAATTTCATATCAAGCAATTACAATAGCCTTTCACAAGGTATTATTCTAATATTACAAAACCCTAAGCCTGTCTGTCTGTCTGTCCATAACACTTTATTCACACTCTGATTGGCTGTCACAGACAGGGACAGACAGTGGAGCACCACCATGGCAGTGGGGACTGAGGGGCTGGAAGAGAGGGGGATGACAGGGACTGAAGTGCCCCCATAATGGAGGTGATAGAGTGTGGGGGGGTGAGGCCAGCAGCGCTAGCCTCGCCCCCCATCCCGCCGGGTCTGCTCTTTGGAGCCAGGGGCTGGTGCCCTCCCCCCAACAACAGCCGGCAGGGAGGGAAGGCAGTGGGGAACAGGGGAGGGAGGGGAGCAAGAAGGGGAGAGGGTCTTACAGTCTCAAGTGGTGGGTGGGGGGAGAGGGAGAATGGCTCTGGCCCCAGCCCCAGCCCAAGGCAGGCAGGGAGGGATGCAGGCCTCTGTCCTTGCCCCTGCCCCCCCATCAATCTTGACAGGCAATTGTCTAGTATATATAATATCTAAATACTTAAATACTTATTTTGTTTGCTTGGGTTATGATATATAATTCTAAAATAGTTGTGCCTATTATTTCAGTTTGCAATACTAAGATAAAACTTTAGTTGTATGTTATCTACATTCCTTGCACATTTCATGACATCTTAATTATGAACGACCAAATCAAAGTCGCCACATGTTTTTTAGAGGGCCTTTAATAAACCAGCCTTCAAACATTTTCCTTTTGGGTGAAAAATAATGTAGTCATTACACCAATGTAGCAATAATATAAACATGAATAAAAATGGAAAGGATCCCAAAGATGCTTTATAAGATACGTAATTCGTGTTTGCTGGTCTGTAACGGAATTCCAAGAATACTTTGACGTACAAGTATTTGTGTACCACCTATACTCCTAGCCCTTCTAAAACATGATCGAAGTCCCTTTCACAAAAATCTTACTTACAATTCTTTAAGTAACAATTATTTAATCTGCAAAACAGTCCTTCTTTTAAAATATGTGATGCAAGTAGTTTGTACAAGTTTGAAAACTGTCTCATAGTTTACATCCAGATGGAGAAGATAGATACAACAGGGCCAACCAGAAATGATTTTTTTTAAATGTAAGTACAATGAAATAGTGACTGTGGTTTACAATAGTCAACATCTAATGATCATTCATCTCAGGCCTTAACTCCAGTGCTAACCGTTAAAATCTAGCAGAAAAGTTCTGCCAAAAAGCTGATATATTAATTTGTTACGGTGAAAACTGACTGAATATGGCATTCTGCAGTGCATCACACCTGAATGCAAGTCATGCTTCTTCAGAAACATAGCCACAAATTTTACAGATCTTCCCCCCGCCCTCCTCCCCCACCAGGTACCTGCTTCAACACGTTTGCTTTGTTTTTGTTTTGTATGCATTCCAATACAATTGTTTTTTTATGACATTTCTTCCTTGGTTTAATAAATGCTTTGCATTCTTTCAATGGCTCAAATAGTTTTCTAGTGAAATACAGATATTTTACTTACAGCACAGAATAAAATATATATGAGAATGAAAATGAAAATGAGCTTGCATTTTTTTAGCACTTTCATCTAAGAAGATATGAAAGGGCTTTACAAATCTTACCAATAGATTTAATACCACCACTAAAGTGCAACCACCTTGGTGATGAAACACTGAAACAAAGTATTGGTGTAGAGCATAGTACACAACGTTTAGGGAAGTAAAAATACAATCGGCAACTAAAATAAAAGAAGTCTTTAAGCAGGCAAAGTATAACTACCCAAGTTGGAATTTGGCAAGAACACGAGGGTGAAAGTTAATACCCTTCCCATTTACAAAAAAAAAAATCATCAGACATTTAAGTAATCAGGTGGTCTGGATCACCGTTTTAAATCTCATCTGAAACATGGCCCCTCCAACAGCACAATGGCACCATAACATCATTGGTCCACATAGAGGAAAGAGCAGCACCTAGTGGAACATAACCAGTACCTCCTGCAACACCTACTGGTATGGACAATGCAAAATGAAATGAAACAAAAGTGTCGGAAACAGTTTATAAAAATGGCACATTTATTGCTACAGAACGGTCATGTACATGACGGCATCGAATAACTACAGATGAGAAACAGGTAATGGCCTACACCAAGCTGTGTTTGTTTTTTTTTTTTAATCTTCTTGAAGGAACTCCAGCACACAACCTGTTTGGACACTTCTACAAATCAGAAATACACCAAAAACATGAAAAAATCGAGGCACTCAGCCACACATTGAAAACAAGGTGTAACTGTTTATCTTTTTTTTTTTAATCTTTTTCCTTTTTTCATTTTTTTCCCATTTTTTTTTGTTTTTACTGCTGCAGCTATGTGTATAGTCGCAAAAATTTCCCCGTTGCGACCTACAACTAAAAAAAAAAAAAGCTACCATACAGTTTCATCTCAGTAACACATGGTAAAATAACATCTTTTAAATAGTAAAATAAAGTAACAAACTTTTACTCAGAATGATTCCAAAAATCTACAAAGAAGAAATATTCAGAATCTGACAATTTTTTTTTCCGTAATATTCATGGTATAAAAGGATTGCTCCTGTGAAAAATAAGCCAAATATATTTTTTATTTTTAAATTTAGTTTTTTTTTCCTACTAGGGTGTACTACAGTCTATTTTATAGCAAAAAGAGCACTAGACAAACGAAGCTTTATAACAAAAAGCCAGGCACTGATACATGGTAAATCTCTGCTTTTTTTTTCTTATCTTCACTTAATTGCATCACAAGTAACAAGAATGAAAAAGGCCACAGTTCATATATTTTCACCATTACATAAGTCTATAATACTTGAAATGAGTATGGTCAAACCAGCACTGCACAAATATGAATCAACTTCAAGTCCCATGAGAAGAACATGTCTTTAAAAAACAAATGAACAAAACAAAAACAAAACAAAAGGTAGGCCCCAAAAGGCCTTGGTGCCCCTTGTGTTGGAATTCAACATATTCCACCTTTAGTTGTTTTTTTTTTTTCCAGTCAACCAGTGGACTAATTTTTTTCTTTTTCTTTTTTTTGTGCTTGTTTCCGCTGAAATCTCTTCATTCCTGGCAATACATTGTTCACTTTTTGACACAGATCATATTCTGCCTGACGGATATAAAAGATGAAGCTTTCCTCTCCCCTTCCCACCCTACCCACCCCCAAAACTAAAAACAAAATTAAAAAAAAAAAATCGGAAGACTGAATCAGTACAAGTTGCATCACTGGTAGGACTGACAGTTGTATAAACATTAGTGTTCCTTGCAGCTACACAGAAGACAAATGGTAAAAAAGTTCTAGATGAACAGATTCCCTATTCAGCATATTCATAAATTACTTGAATGTGGAGGTGGATCACCTATTTAAAAAGCTGATATTTTAGTCTTTGCTTCTTAAAAAGAGTTTATTGGCCCAGTTTATTACCACATAATGCAGCCTCCTGAAATCTAATAGTTTTAACTAAGTACCATCAGCTAGATTACCCGTGACAAAGCCTACTCAGGACACTAATGCCTTAGTTGCGTTTGGAAATAAATAAATTTTAAAAAATCAAAGATTTAATACCTGCTTTTCACCTTGGTCTATTAAGAATCGATAACTACAGAGCAGGATCTGTTGCATCTGTACAGCTAAAATTAATGTGGATGAATCTTTACTTTCCAAATCTATTATATTTTAATCCTAAAAGTAAAGCATGCTATACATTTTCTATTTTACAGCATGATAAAGTACATAAAAATAATGGGAAAAAAACTGCAACTTCTACTCGATTTGAGTGAAAGCAAAATGTAAAGACAAAAATACAAAACCGCTCTATTTTTGTTAAAAGCATAACTAAGCAAAACCTTTAATTTATTTATTTTTTCACAAATACTTTAAAATAACATTAATTTGGTCTTACCGTGCATTCACAATTGTATTTATCAGAAGTGCAGCTCCTAAAACTTTGCATTAACCAAAGGGCTGTTTTTGGTTCCCTAAAATGAACATGTACTATACAAACATAAACTGAATATGATCTACTGGGTTCTTTTTCCTGCACAAAATATGGCTTGTTCATTGTCGTTTTACTCAACACTATAGACAGTAATAATACATATGGTTCTGATACAGAGAAACCTTTATTCCGCTGAGGATACCAGCACTCAAAGACATCAGCTATCATTAACTCTGGGTGAGATCAATCTTTGTCCCACCCATTTTCATATAAACCAGGCCCATTAAAAATCCAGCATTTTTAGTATAATATGCATTTGTAATTTTGAATTAACTCTAAGTGTATTTCATTTTATTGTATATTCCTAGTGGTTTAATCCACCTCCACATTTGAGAAACTTATCAAGAAATCAAAACATTTTAAGTTTTACTGCTACTGAACATATTTACAGTTTTCAACACGCACACAGCTAATCAAAATGTTTATGGGTATGTAGAAGGTGATCACATGGTAACTATCATATTTGTTCGTTACGTTTTCAGAAACAAACATAAAATTCAGATTCTTGTATCTCACTATTTCATTTAAATGAGACTTTTTTCAACCACACAGATTTTTTTAAACAAAAAACTGATACAATGTATTAAAACACATAATAACAAGAGTCTACATGTAAAAATATAACTTTTACATACACAATTTCAAAATAATGATACGTTTGCCATTTGTTGCATAAAATTTACAAATGTATTTTTCATTACTATATAACTGGCAAAACAGGAGAACAGATGGAACATTTAGACCGTTTTGATGGATTTATGGCATTTACTTAGTGTCGATAGGTGGAAAATCTACTTGAACAGGGAGATTTTATTTAAAATACATGCCAGGTTTGTGTGGCTGTAAAAATAGAAACTGGAATTAGAGACAAAAGGATGCTGACAAATACTTAACTAGGAGCACTATCTGTTAATTGTACTGTACACCAAAGTCAATCATTATAAAGATTCACTATGGAAGTTGGTTCAATTGTGCCCAGACTTCAAAGCTAGCTATCTGATGAGTTGCTGTGCCATAGTTTGATCTATGTTACTATTAAATATGTTAAGTAAAAACTTCATTCATACTGGCCAGAGAAATACTGTACTACCACCCCTCCTCAAGAAAGTGCAACTTAATGCTTTAGGACTCATAAGGCTTGTTGTAATGCTGCATGATGACTGAATATTGGCATTTTACAAATAAAGGAGGAGGCAGCAAGTGGTCTACATTTAAGTAATCCACTTAAAAACAAGAAAAGAAAGAAAAAGAAAGTCAATCAAATCTGTCACACTACTTGCAATTTTCCCATTTGATGCTTTTCCCCCCCGAAAATCTGACCATGTATTCAGAAACGCCTCACTGCACACTATTTAGGCTACACACATAGGTAACACTTTAATCAATTTGTTAAATCACAGCCACTTTGATTATGTTATGTTTCTGATGATATAAACATTGGAAGGCACAGTGGTAACATTGTAGCATTCTAACCTTGTACCTCTGAAAATCCCAGAATAGGGTCAACAAGTGCAACATTACGATTTAGACAAATTTGTTTTGCCAAGTCTCAGTAACGCTGCCTGTATTATCTACACATGATGTGACTTGAAAGTCCTGTGTTCCCAAAAGACTGAAGAAACAACTCTACTTATTTATGAATGAGAAGCAACGTCAGGGTCAGCATTTCATCCTGCAGCACCCCTCCAGAGACAGAGTTGGCACTACAGGTTACAATAACAAAAACAGGGGAGAGGGACAGAAATAAGACAAAAAACCCCTTATTTACAGTAAAATCTTCTTTTTAAAAAAGTTAATCAGTACTATTTTTTTACAGGAGCAAAAAAGTCTGAAACAAATGAACAAAAGCTTACCATATTCACTAAATTTTTAATATATATTTATATATATATTTATATATATATATTTGTCATAGGTCTATAAGATCCATCTGTTCCTCCTACCCTAAGGAATGGCTAATGTCATCACTTCAGTTTTCATTAGGACGTTTGCTGGTTTTGTAAATATCTGGGCAGCAAAGCTTCCCTTTTAATATCCAGTAAGTATAAACACTAGCTGTCTAGCACACCAACAAAAACGCTCATTTTTTCTTCAGAAGTACACTTTTTCATTATTGCAAGTTTACAATTTTAAATTAAATATTTTTTTCAGACTTACAAATTAATTATATTTTTTTTCCAAAAGAAGTTTAGGCACAAATGCATTGTCCCACAGTGTGGAGAAGATTGCCATTCAGTCTCTAGGCTGTGCATTTACAGCTCATAACATACTGCTTTTAAACATTCTGAATGATATGTTAAAGAGAGTCATCCCTCAAAAGTTGCACTTTTTGTTTGTTTTTTTGTTTTTAATAATCGGGAATGCTGAAATCTCTTGCGTCTGTGATTCTTAACTACTCAGACTTGTCTTATATTACAAAAAAGGGGTTAAGGAGAAGTGTTTATGTGGGTTTAAGATAATACAGCTGTTAAAGAAGTGGTCTCTTGTTTAAATGAAGAAATGTGGCAACTTGGACCTGTGAAAGAAGTAGAAATTAAATCAGTCAAGGAGAGCTGAACACACATGACTGTACCTTCTTGACAAAAATGATTTTCACATCATTTTTGAATCTTAAATGTACTTGCAAGCTGATTCAATAAGAACATCGCAAAAGATGAGCCTAATTCTTCTTGTTACACGTGAGCTACCCCACCCCCACTGCAGTCCAGAATCTATAGGAGGACTCTATATGGTGTCTTCTTGGGAGAGTATAGCGTGACTTTGAACATCGCTGAAAATGAACTTGCCTTTCTACATCTGTCCCATATGATTGGATGCATCTCCCATCCCAGGATGGGGTCCTGCCAAGGAAAGTGGAGGAGGGTCTGAAGATACTTTCTCTTCTTCCCTTCTTTTCAGACATGCTGCTTTAGGGTTCAGATTCCTTTCTGTTGAATTGAAGCAAAAGGCCATTTCAAGAACGCAAGTTTTTATTACATCCCAAATTAATCTGCTTACTGTGGCTCCACCTGAAGAAATTTATTTATCATTTTCTTATTAGAGGTGACTTCACAACTTCATTAAATAAAATACCAAAAGATCTTTTTCTCTGAAATTCTCTTTTCAAGACTTGGGAATGTCAGTGGCTTGTATTTGTGGTCATGGTCAGTTCAAATGATGGAATGCAATACAAGTCAGTGCACAAATTTTGCAAACACCTCCATTTTTGTGCATCTCTCAGTGGTACCTGAGAGTTTGGAAAGGAGAAGGCAGGGATATTTTTTGGACAAAAGTCTATAAAATCATGAAGGGCATGGACCAAGCGAACAGGGCACTGTCGTTTACCAAGTTCTGGAATATTAGAACTGGGGGGCACCCACTGAAAATAGTAAGTGACAGGTTTAAAACTAACTAGAGAAAGTACTTTTTTAAAGCAACATGTAGAAAACTTGTGGAATTAATTTCCATAGGAGGTGGTGGAGATATAGAACAGCTAGGTTCAAAAATGGACTCAATATATTCATGAATGATAGATATATTAATGGGCATTGATCAGAATTGTTGGAAATGTTTCTTTAGGAATCTCTAACTCAATGTATAGTGGTTGCCAGGGAGGGTATTGAATAGGGAGACATCTGGTTCCTGTAATCTCTCTGTATAGCATCTACTTCTGTCACTCTCGGAGACAGGATACTGGGCTAGATGGACCACTGGCCTACATCAATGTGGCACATATATTCTTATGAAGCCAAGCTTAATATTGAACTTAGATCTCGTCAAAAAAGCCAAACATTTGAATATTAGGAAATGTCAGAGGTCTACATCAAAGATTAAAGGATTAGATTGACAAAGGTATTTAGGCATCTAACGTGGTATTAGACACTTAAATCCAGCACTTAAGTGCCACTGAGCTCCTCCAAAGCCCTACTCAGCTACTGTCTAGCCTGTCTTAGGTATATAAACTCCTGGATGAATTTTAACTTTTCATCCGCAGTAACGTGCAAAATTGTCAAAGTGCTGATGCTGCTAAACGCTTTAGTACCCTCAGTCATGTATAAATCTGGGAACTCTCAGGGGTGGAGTTTTCCCATCTGGTTTATATGATATGGCGGATATCAGTGATGGCCCCCTCCTCCTTGATATTTCCGACTGGTTAGCATAGGGGACTCTGACCTCAATTTTCTGGCTTCTGCGAATGCCATTCTTAGATGTACTGTATAGGGAGAGGAGTGTTTAATTCATAGCTGTAAATTCCATTGGATGGCAAACAAGACAATACTCAGAGGGTTTTTTTTATGGATTTAGCCTAAACTAGATCTTGGTTTCCTCAAACTACAAGGTATTTCTTCACTGAGCACCAGTGTAGCTTCATTTTAAAACAGACAATGACAAAGACTAGAATGCCCAATGTGGGACTGAAAGCCCATATGGATTCAGACCTGTATCCAAATCATGCAATTAGTGACTATCTCTGTAACAGAGAGAACTTGATCTATGAAATCAGTGAACATTTAGGTATGAAACCTGTATTGGATGCTAGATGAGTGCTGTGACCTGAGGTGTGTCATTAGAAAAATCTGTCTCACTGAGCACTGTAGACTGGTACTGTGCATTGAACAGCACTTACACTCTTGAAAAGGGCTTAGTTTTACATGACAAAAAAACCCCCAGAGGAATTCAAGATTTGGTAATGTTTTGGGCAGATGGCAATTTACTGATTGATAACTATTGGTTTTTATAGGCATCAGGAAGCATTTTACAATCCTATCTCTGCACACAACACAGTATGGTATAGTTTAACACTGTACATTTTGTTTCAAAATATTTTTGTATGATTAGTTGGTAGCTTCATAAATGCTTTAGCTTTCTGCCTCTGGAAATCAGATTTTCAGGCTGTTAATGTATGAGTACCTGGTCGCAATGGCTGCTGATAGGCATGAAAAACCTAAACAAAACATATTTTACTGGAAGAGAAAGTGTGTTAGTTTGACCTGGCTCCCCAGTGTCATGCATTTCAGTGGGGCTTTTTGCCACTTTTATCTAAAGTCGATTCAATCAGCTATTAGATAAAAGCATCAAAAAGCCCTGCTGAAGTGCACAGTCTATACAGATGTTGAGCAAGTCAGGTCAAATTAACACAATGCCTCTTCTAGGCACACGCTACGATTGGTGCAGGGGCACGCTGAGCTTAAAGCACTGGGTTTTTTTCCCACATCTGTAAGCAGCCAATAGCTTTAGATTGGCTAGTGATAAAAGGTTACGTTACTTTTGTTTCCTTTCATTTATTCTGACACAGCCCTGTAACTGATTTGCCAAAAAATAGACATGGATGAAAAGCAGGTTACTAGCTTTACCTGGTATGCATTTCCAAACCAAGTGTCCTAAAACAAATGGAAATCAAAAGGAAGATTTTCTTAAGAACTGTAGATATGACATGTCTGAGCTATTTTCTTCGGCTATTACATGTGCTTTACTGCACAGAAATCTGCTGTCATCACTCTACTCAGTTTACAACTAACCTAGAACTCCCAGAGTTGGGTGACTTTGGATATATATTTTGTCACCACAGCAAAAGATGCCAAAAACTCACCTCTGACTTGCTGTTCTAAGCTGAGAATGACAGCCACAGCCTGGTGTAGGATCAGGAGTTTGGTCTGGGGCTTGTCACTCTTCAGATGGAGTTGCACCATCCGGCCCAACTCCTTGAAAGCCTCATTGATGTCACGCACGCGTAGGCGCTCCCGGGCATTATTGGCCATTCTCCTTTCCTTCTCTCTCTCAGCCTTCTGCTCCGGGGTAAGGTCCTCGTCGTCATTATTGCTGAGAGATAAAAGGAACACAGGATTTTCTAATAGTGTGGAAAATATGTAATTCAGTCATTTTGAACAGATTTCAAACTCAGCTAGTGATGCAATTTATAGGAAGCATTTTTGGCCTAATTCTAACTTACATCTCTCATTCTGAGAGGCCTCTATGTACAATATACAATTTTGTCACTGATCACGTTAACATTTCTCCATAAAAATCACTCTGTTTAAAGTTCTTTGGTCTGTAATGAAGATTTGCCAGCTAACTAAAGCAGGACAGTGGGAAGCTCTGCTATTTAGAACAAGAGAAAGTACAGTACTTTTCAGTAACGTATTTTACACACCAGTACCACAGTCAGTATTGTGACATTGCATGCAGGACACATCCTGGGAACCTATGGATTTTATATTTGAACTACACAAGCTTCAAATTCCAGGCTGCACTTTCAACCCACAGGGAACATATCAGTTTTAAATTAAATCAATTAAACTTCCCAGACACTTTTCTATATTCAATAAACTTGAGTAATGAATATGAAATTAGAACCATGGGTTTTATCCAGGTGAATTTCCCTTTAGGCTAGGAAAAAGCAGGTAAGAGATAGCCCTTCTGTATGAGACAAGAAGGAAATGAACAGAATAGGTATGCTAGAGGACTGAGAAGCTCATGCAAAATGACTAGCTAACTGTCACAAAATTTCAAGGTAGAAACGAAATAGGTTAGTGCATAGAAATAGATTTTGGCTCTTTTACTACACAACCCTGTGGAGTCACCAGTCTGGATAGCTGGCACTTTTGTTATAAATGGGCTTCTCTGCTAACCAGAGGCAGAGGTTCCTTATTCTTCTCTCATTGATCGGTGGGGCTTATTTACTTGCTACTATTAAATCTCATGTGGCACAATGGGGGCTCATAGGGCTTGGGAGTCTCTGTAATGCATCTGAGTCAGGAGGGCCCTACGACTCCTTCAGTTTTCATTCTAGCCTGCTGAAAGAGCCCTGTTTTTGAGATGCTGGGCATGAATATGAGTACATTGTACTTGGCTTGTCAGGATCTGATACCACCTCTCTGAAGGGAAACTTGGAAAGTCACATTAGCCTACTTTAGGAAGCATATCAGCCACTATTTAGCCAATGGAGAGTAGTGGGAATGAAATTTCCATCGGCCAATAAGCCATGGAAATAATTCATGACTGGATAGAGCCCCACGTTTAATTTTGTAATCATGTTCTGTAGCAAAACCTGACTCTATCTTGCATTTAGTGACAAACTGGAACACATTTTCTAGTGACTTGCTGATAATACATTATATTAATTGACTTAGGTATACAAATATACTGATCTGTTTTCAACAATCCTAAGACAAGACAAATTCAGAAGCATGACTAAATATCAAGACTAACCTTTAAAGTTGTAAAGCTCTTAAAAACAAAAATATTAGTCTACAAAAGTTCCAAAGCACACATTAAAATGCATAAGTGATAGCCTACCTGTTCAATTAACAAGAACTGAGAAGATCAACTTGCATCAACATAAAGGCCTTTTTTTTACCATATCAAACGTGTGAGAAAAAAAAATCTCTTGCAAATATACCCAATTAGATTTGTTGAGAGAAAACCTAAATATACCCAATTAGATTGTTTGTTGAGATAAAACCTCAAGCATCAGACTTTTTTCTCCACTCATAGCAGGCCTGTAAATAATTCTTTTTGTTTTAAAATTAGGCTGTGGGAGAGGAATTCTTGAAATCTTGAAGTCTTTCTCCCAAGCAACATGTCTATTTGTTATTACATGGCTGATATTTGATCTTGTTCACAGCCTTCCCATTTTCATATATAATCCAAGACAACAGTGCCTTGAAGGATATGAGGCAGCATCAAACTCTTATTCAATCTTTTAAAAACAAAACAAAGCCAGGAGTGTACCTGGATTTCAATGTTATTGGTCTTTTTGTTATATAGCTTGAGACGGAATTGATATAGGATATTGAAGGGACAATTTAACCTTTGATCTATAGACTAGGTCTCGAGGCAGAGCCCACAGTCCAGCAAATATTGCAGAGAAAAACCTCATTTAGATAGCTAATGCTTAGCACTTCCATACACATTAGGTAAGTTCAGCCAGGAAACAAAGTCCAAGATGATAAAATCCAAGGATATGTCTTCACTTATACCTTCCAGTATTATTTATAGAATATGAAGAATAGTTAGCCCCAATAGCAGTCCAATTTAAACATGCATATGAGGGCCATCAATGCATGTAGGGGAGAAATATTTCTTTATGTAAGATATTTTTAAAACTAGAAGGTTAATAAAACACTTCTTTCTTCTGAAATGAGGTAATTTAATTATATTGTTTTACATAAACTGAAGCTCTGGTCTGATGAAAGGTAAAAGAAAGGGGTCCAATATGTTGGGCAAATTACTATGTGAATGTGATCAGATTTAGATGCATATTAAAAACTGAAAAGCAATATTTTACCCCAATTTTAAGCAAAGGCAAATTATTATAGGTGGATTATAATTAAATAATCATCTACTAAGCTAATAAGGCAGTGTAAGATGATGGATAATAAGAATCATTTATAATGGGGATAATTTCGTCGGTGTCCAGTTCTGGGATCTTAAAGACATTTGGGGAAGTCCTGGAGTACAAGTATCCAAATGATACCATTAGTACTACCAGAGTAATCCTTCCATTTACTCTTAGGCTGTGGTTTTGCCTGTCAGGAAAAAATACCTCAGTGTTTCTTCCTGTTCTGTTCACTTCATCAAAATCCAGTAAAGGAATTAAATGAAGCGACACTATTATATACTGTTACCTAGATCTTGACCTAGTAATTGATTTGATATCCTTCTTGTCATCCTCTAGTTTCTTGTCCTCAGAAGATTTTGTGTCCTGGAGGTTTTCATCTCCCTCATCATCAGATTTGATTTCGGAGCTACCTGAAGACACACTCTGCCCTTGCAGTCCAGTTGGCATGCCTGTGGAAAAATACGTTAAGTTTCTGTTACCAATGCTTATGGAAAAGTTTGAATGTATTTGTACGTGTGTTTCTTAACACTGTTGCTTAGAGTAAGATTTGTAGTCCTTTCTGCTCACCGACACTTTTTTGGGCTGATTGGTGCAAAAAAGTAGTTTCAAGAATGCAGCTGCTGAGACCGGTTTTAAGCACCGACATTGAGATACAATTCTACTTCACGGTTTTTGGAATAAATGCTAATTTCATCATCCACAAAGCATCAGCTAAATTGCAATGGAAAGCATAATCATGGAAATGACACACCTCATGTTCTGATTAAGAGCCCAGTGCATATGGCACACTTTATATGGAGCTTTTCTCCTTGCACAATACTTTAGCGAGATATAATAACAAAACTATACAGTTCAATAGCACTGCCTATTCCAAAATCTGAAAGCACTTTATAGATTAATTACCTGTAAGTAGGTAACTATTATTTCCATTTTACAGAAGGGAAAACTGACATGCAAAGAGGCTGTGATCTTGTTTAGCCTTACATTTTAAATCAGTAGGTGGCTGTGGAAAAAGGCCTAGACTTCCTAATTCTTAGTCTTTTCTTTAATCACTGTAATCTTTGGGTGTGTGTAGACAAAACGGGGGCCCTAAATTGAAGCAGTGGGTTTTAAAAAACACTGCTTCAATTTAGGGCTGATCAAACCCCCATGTTGTGCACACAACCTGCTGACTTACCTGCCTTTCCAGTGGGGAGGGGAGAGCAAGCTGCCGGCAGGGTAGCAGTCCCTGGGCTGCAGGAGGGGCTGGTGCTTCCCCCCACGGCAGCAGTGGCCCCCCCTAGGCAGCACCCACTCACAGGCACCTGGCTTGGGCGGTCCCAGGGGGCACCGCAGCCCTGGAGGGAAGCACCGGGTCGCTGTGCAGCTCAGGCAGGCAGGCAGGCTCCAGGTGAGGAGGGAAAAAAAGATCAGGCTCACACGGAGCCCAGTGCTTCACTCCACAGCTGTAGGGGTAGCAAACTAAAACTCCTCAAAGGAGTTCTAGTTTGCTGCACCCCAAGTCATTTAAAGTGCATTATACCGCCAAATTTCCTACAGCAGCTGGAATTAATGTGTAATACACCGCCAAGGCGTGCAAACATTGACACCATTTAAGTGGTGCAAAAGCATTTAGCCTGCTTTAAAGTGTCGGGGGCACACGCCTCTCGTTTCATCTACACATGGCCTTCCTCTTCAAAATCGTTACTATGCCATTCTCATAAAATAATCCAAATACCTCAGCCATAAAGAATGAGCTTGTGAACCATCATAAAAGAAATTCAGAGTTCTTTCTTCCACACTTTTACTGTAAAAATAGTAGTCTCTAGGAATAAAGGTAAAATCTGGGTGTCCTGTCAATTCAGTTAGTTTCAGATGTCTTTTGAAACAATTATGCCGGTATATTTATTTATCTTACAAGCTTCATAGAGCTTGGTAAATATAGAGATACAATGAAAAGAATGGTGATTTCCTCTTCACATATGTAATGTTAGTCAATGGGAATTCTGTGTATGATGGAACTTAAACTTATACTTTTTCATTTTGCATCCAAAAAGGCTTCCAATAGTCTTAATATTGCTTCTTGAGTTATCTTGGTACCAGAGTTCTCCTGAGCTAAATTGCTTTGATGCTTGAAATTGTGATGACTAGAAAATACTAGACAGGATGTCAGAATCATTAAGAACTATTAAGAGAGTCAAGTTACTCCTGACTCTCTCCTTCCACTCAAGTTGCGTGATGGTCTCATTGAATAAGTGAGCAATCACAACTATGAACCCAAGTTACAAGGAAACTCAGTAATCCCAATTATTGTAGCACATACACATTTTAATTTTAATTTGATGAAGAAGCATTTAAGACAAGCACATGTCAGTTTTCTGAGGTTATTGCAGTATACTCACCCCTATATGGATCTTGGGGTGGATTTAAATCTGGGGAAGTAGCAGACTGAACTGGCAGCTGGGGAACTGGAACCTGATTTGGCACAAGTGAATGGCTGCCACGCAGACTGACACCATCTTCACGATGGGCTCCAACCTGCAAAGTGAAGATTTGGAGAGTTTAATATTACAGGACCAGAAACATGGAAGCAACAAGTTCATGAGAGAGCAAGGACAGGATGAAGAGAAATGTGGGCATTTAAAAATACGGTTCCACATGGCTCTTCACTAGAGGGCGCCGATGTACTGTGTATCTACATAATATGCAAAAACACTTAACACTCAGTAAGATGCTGTGCAGCACATTTAGTGACAAATATGGCAGAGTAGCTCAGGCAGGTAAAACGTCAAATTGTCTCCCAGGGTGCTGCAGTGGAGCGCACTGATTCGTACCCATCTGTCTTCTATCATGTCCGCCAACAGATCTGACAATTATCTTAATGCCCATATGCTTAATTGTGGGCTTCTCAATTCCCCCATTGCTATCGGAAATCCTGCAGGAATTTCAATTTGGCATTCGACTTTCATTTCAGGGGATAAGATTCTCAGGCCTGCCATTTTTTTTCCATAATGCCAGTTAAGCCTCTGACAGTGGAAGCTACAGTAGTATCTGACACAGCCCCAATTCGGCACAAATATAATAAAACGTCACCTGGCTTTCCAAACCTAGAAGCCCATTCCAAATTAATGTTTGCTGTATTTCATTAACCACAGAGTTCGAAATCCAAAGGGGCAAAATTCCTGCCAACACCACGACTCCGGGTAATATACCAATAAAGGTTTTATTAAACACTCCAGTAATGCCATCATCTTAGCTGACAGTGCAGGCACAATGGAAAGACATCTATTATCTTCCATGTATATTGCTTATGGATGCACTTTATAAGCTAAAATTGCTATAGAATTAAATATAAGGGAGTGTAAGGAATGACAGGCTATTTATCTCTAGACTCAGAAAATGTGGATGGATGTTTTGATTTTAAATAGCTTCTAATGAAAAGCACTGGAGGAACAGAGAACGCTCTCTTTGGTTTCTTAATTTAAGACATGCCTCAAAGTGAAAGATTCCTTGAATCATATAAAAAACACTTCTGCATGCAACTTGAGTATCTATTCTAGATTTTCTCAGGTGTTAGCCTGGTCTAGTACTTAGATGAAATGTGTCTCCACCGAATATACGCTCTGAGAGAACTCTAAGTGACTCTTCATTCTCAGAGTATTATCCATGGATCAGTACTTGTGCAGATAAAAAGACTGAGGAATGTTTCTAATCAGAATTACAAGATAATGTACTATAATTGTTAACATCAAGACCACAGTAGGAAAGATAAAAGGGAATCCTGCCAAAGGGGATTCAGGGAAAAAAAACCCACACTTTTGCTATCAGACAAAACAAAGATACAGAAGTAAGTATAAAACAGCAGAGCAGAAAACTGTTTTGAAACATTTTAATTTTTAAAAACTTGACATCTTTAGAAAAGACTTTGGAAAACTGTTACATTTACTAATATATTTGGTTGCACAAAGAAAGAAGAAAGTGCCCGTGTGGGGTGTGGAAGGATAAAGTTTCACCTTGACATAAAGAGCTTACCATGTAAACCCTTGGAGGTTTCAATAATCTAAAAGATTAGTGTGAAGTTTTAATGAAATCACTGATATTTTCTTGACATGAACAAGCTCTTTATTAATGTTACACCAGTGGAAGGAAAATATTGGAGCTGAACAGACTTTTTATGGACAGACGAAGAGAAATGTGTATGGTAATTCTGAGGTGGAACAAAACAGAACATTTGTTTCATTTTATTCCAGATCATCACATTTTCACTGGAAACCAGCAAATGATGTTTAAGTAGACCTCTTGTGAGTAACTCAAATATATAGGTGCATCTCAGCAAATATATCATCCTCTTCAAAATCTCTACCACTTTCAGGCCAAATTGTATTAACAATAATACTCCAAATTATGATGGACAAGGTTGATTCTGATTCTGACTGCCACACCTGACTGAGCTCTCTGATGGGAATGCTTGTTGTTTTGTCATATAAAAAGTTCAATGCCGATGAAACTTTTTTGTTGAAATTTTGAATCCGGATAAATAAAAGGAAACTGTTGACAAAAGCTATTTTATTTTAAAATACCAGCTGCAATAAGTACTAAGAAATATCTAAGATGCCTTCTCTTTCTTCAGATTCATAAGAGATTTGGGTTGTAAGTGCAAAACGTTGCTCATAAATGAATGGGGAAATTTGTCTATTCATATTTCCTCTTTTACAAACCACAACATTGGCAAGCTTATTTGTCGAGATTATAAAAGCCTGTTGTAACTGCACATTTTAGGCTTGTGCAGTGAAAACATCCACCCCAATAGCATAAATTGGGGGAAAACCTAGTTTTATCATCTTCTAATGCACTATTCTGAACTATCACTCTGCTCACAAAAAGTGCCCCCCCTCCCACCCATCTGATACAAGGAGCAGTCCAGAAGACCTGTCTGCATAGTGCCAAGTTCAGAACATTAAGGCATCAAGGTACACACAAAAAAAATCATTCTTCAACTTCAATGAACTTCATCATTCAAAAAAATCATTCATCAACTTCAATAATAAGACTGAGTCTGACCAAGAGCACTGATTCTACTCCACTGACCTTGTGACAGTCTATTTGCACACCCTTGTTGGCTATTTAATTACTAGTCTTAAACTTATTTCAGATGATTCACTGCCAGGGTACAATAGAGTGATTCCCAACAAGGGTGTTGTGACATCCTGAGGCACTGCAAGATCCTTGTAAGCATGCCACACAATATTAGCCCTGTTAGATATGCAAAGACTCACAAGTTAAACCCAGATACTTCAAACAGAAAGCCATGGCATCAAAAACATTCTGACTTCTTGTGGCTTTTGTGAGTTCTTTGCAACAGAAGTCTTGTTCTTATTTTTCCATAGTAAAAAAATGAGGGAAAGCTAAAAGGTGGCATTTTCCAAGAGGGTTCTCAAAGGTTGAGAACCACTGGTTTGGACTCCTGGAAGGACCGAGAGACATTGCATAACGACTCCTCAGGCTATTTTGAATGCATCTCTTATAATAATTTATTGAGTGACTTGTTCATCATATCATCTCCTTTAGCTTCTCTTATTTAGCCTTTCCAGCCTAACTAAGTAATTATTTAAGTACTCACTTGGTATCACCTCTCCTGCTCTCAACAACTTTTTCATGTGCCTACAACCTCTCCCTCACCTACAATGCTTCACCTTCTTCAAATCTTAACTGTTAACACACTTTGTTCCATGGGTTTGTAAACCCTAGACAACTCAAAAATAATTAACAAAACCCATAAACTAATGCAGGAGTGGCCAACCTGTGGCATGAGTGCTATAAGTAGCATGGACAACCTCTGTGTCTGGCAAGTGGCACATTAAGGAGGGGACAGGCAGGGCTGCAGCATATAGGGCAAGTACCAGAAAGAGCAGGAGATCAGGTAAAAGGCACAGGGCAGGACACAAAGCTGAGGAGGAAATTAGGTAGGGAGCACAGAGTAGGGAGCAGAAAGCAGAGCAGCAGGTTGAGCAGAAGAAGGGGATCAGAATAGCACTTCAGGGAGGGTGCAGAACTCATGTGTGGCACGACTGCCTACTGAACTATTGCATCTTGTATATAACACTACTGTATTACTCCCTTTTAACACTTCCCTTTTTTCCCCATCTGCATTTGTTTACTTAAAGAGTATATGAGGCCAGAAGTTGTCTTCAACTCTTCTGCTAACTTAGGCACCGCTGTTATGTAAATGATAAACAACAATAGTACAAATTAATTTCAGCAGCATCCAAGACTAACCCCAAAAAAGCATACCAGGAAGAGAAAAGGATAATGGAGGGGAACATAAAATATTATAAGTAAACTTTTCCTCAGCCTTTGTGTCTATCGTATTTTCTTACATAAGAGATGTCTCTTCTTGTTCAATTACCTGCTGATCTGGATTTTATAAAGCTTTGCTTTGTGGGATGGGGGACTGGTAGGGTTGAGCAAAGCTTTGGTCTCTGATTAGATTCAGCGGGGATTCAGCCTGATTTGGTGTCTGAATCTCTGAATCCGAACTGAACTTGAATCAGAGCCCTCCAAATTGATTAGGAAAGATTTGATGATTTGGACATACAGCTTTAAAAGTTGTTTCTACGTACCTCAAGGTAGCAGGAGGCTTGTGAATGCTGAGATGCTGGGGTGGATAGAGCATCCCACGGGAGTGTGGAGGGGGTCCCCAGTGTGCTCGCAGCAGACCTGGAAGTAGACAAGAAGTACTTCTGGTCCACTTCTGGGTCCACCAGGGAGGCGCAGGGGAACCCCCCACCTCCCAGCTCAGCAACTAGTGCCTCCTGGGTCTGGGGGGGCATCAAGGGTCCCTCTACAACTGATTGCTAAGCTAGGGGGTCGGGGGGGGGGTCACCCACGCGCTTGGTGGCAGACCCGGAAGTGGACTGGATCCCCCCTTCCCACATGGGGGCCCCCCCCCCCCCCCAAAAAAAAATCCTGTGAGATGCTCCATCTGCCCCACCATCACAGCTTTCATAAACCGTGCCTGGGACCTCGAGGTATGTAGAAAAAACATTTAAAGCTGTGCCTATGGCTGAATTGCTGATTCTCTGAATCAGCATCAAATCTTCAGATTCGGCCTAACTGAATCAGGACAGTGATCCAAATTAACTAATCGAATCACTGTCCCCAATTTGGGCTGAATCCAAATTGAATACGGCCTGTTTCACATACCCCCAAGGACTGGTTACATTAGCATGTGTATAGAACTATATATCCCCTCCCCTTGGAGAGTAAAAGTTTCAGGAGCCTAGTCTCATTTTCAGAAATGATTTAAGTACTCAGGAGCCTATGGTCCCATTGATTTAGGCTCCAAAATTTCTTTCATACTTTCAAAAATGTTACTTATGGACAAAATAGTTTACTGATATATAAGTTTGTGCAATGGCATATGGGTGCATATAAACAAGGTAAATGTTAGCTATTTATAAAACCTTACCATGCTAAACATCTGCATAGCTAAACAGTCAAATGCATTCTACTAAGAACATTGCACCACCAGCCTGCAG